GCTCATTTGGAAATCATGTTGGAATTTTCTCGTAAGGCATGACTTTATTACTCAAACTTCCAAATAGCTCAGTGTTTTCATTAAATAACAATTTAATTTTCACTGTTTTAAAGTTTTGTTTTGCTTTTGAGACAAGGGCTCCCGATATGTAGCCCAGGATAGTCTGGAATTCTCTGTGTATTCCCAACTGGACTCAAACTCAGGCAACCCTCCTTCTTCGGCTTTGAATACTCAGCTTACAGGCACGAGCAAACTATATTGGTTTTATCTTCATTTAATTTTAATATATGATACACAGTTCTTCTGAGCTAGATTATAAAATGCAAAGGGTAAATTAGAGTAGTTCATGTCTTCAGTGAATATATACTCTTAATGGATACATTGATTCTTACTGAGAAATTCAGTAACTTTTTTACTATTTTTAATTTGATTATTATAGTTATTCTATGTTTATTTATGTATTCCTTGTGTATGCATGTTCAAAGAGGCACATGTGCCGCAGTCAATTCTCTCCTTCCACCATGTGGCTCCCCGGATCGAACTCTGGTTTTCAGACTCAATGGTTATCACCTATACCTGTTGAACAATCTGTTCCACTGTGTGTTGTATTTTCTAAGAAACAGTCTCCAGCTCAGGCTGGTCTAGAACTTACTTTGTGGCCTAGGTTAGTGTCCAGATTATGGTATTCCTTCTCCGTCAGACCACCCGGTGCTGAGATTCCAGGTTTGAGTTACCACAGAAGCCAAGGAAGGCCTTTAAAAGGTCAGGTGAGACCAAGGGATTGGCTGTGAATGTTTAGATTGGATTTTCATGAGTCTGGAGAGCATCGCCAGGGCAGTGAATGGACAAGGGAATCTAAATGCGTGAGGCAAATGTGTGCTGGTGCACACTTAGCCTGGAGACCAGCAGCTGGGATCCTAATAGAATTTTATAACAAATTAGTAAAATTCAAAACCAACACTGTTAAAATATTGATCATTAAATATTAACTACATTAGCTAGACAGCAAATAATTACAGGGTTGAACTGGGTTCTCTTTTTAAAAATTACGTTTTGTTTACTTTGTCTTTGTGTGTGTATGTGTGTGTGTGTATCTGTCTGTCTGTCTGTCTGTCTGTCTGTGAATGTGTGGCATGTGCTTGTGGAGGCCAGAAGACAACTGGTGGTTCTGTCTCTGCATCATGTGAATTCTGGGAATTTAACTCAGGTTGTCAGGCTTGGCCGTAGCACCTTTCCCCGTTGAACCATCTCACTGGCTCTGAATTGAGTTTGTAATTGATGTTACTACTGGAAGAATGGGATAATGAGAAATCCCCAAAAAACACAGATAACATGAAGAAAATTAAGACTATAGTAAATTCAAGATGGTGCTCATTTTCAAAGTTGGAAGTCAAAGAGAAATGAGAGTCCTCTCTTGAGTAATCAATCAGTTTGGAGAGAGGAGTAAAACCAGATGTTCTGGTGTTATGAACATCTCCTGTGATTCCCCATGACAATGCACCCCACTATGGATACAGATAATCGGTTCCCCAGGGGAGCAGAATGCTAGAGAATAGGAGCCACTGCATAGTAAATCAGAAAGATTGTGGAAGGAGATTGGTGGCCTATGAGAGACAGAATGGAACTCTCAGGGTGGGTATATTAAGAAGAATTATTTTTTAATTAAATTCTAGCCTGTTGTAGTAATCATTTCACATGTTTCCATACAGCATGATTGCATTGTACATTTAGAATAAACACATTTTGTACTGCCAAATACTGGTCAATAAAGCTGATGGAGCAGGTCCTATGTCTAGAAGACAGAGGGACTGACTCCCTAGAGGTGGGGAAGGGGAAGGCTGGGTCAGAAAATCCACCTCAGAGCGTGAGCCTCTGGGAAGGGCAGAGAGCTGGTCCTGAGGTGCTAAGGATAAGAGAATGCAGTCAGGGACGCAGAGAGAGACATTGATGGACAGGTGGAGGCAGCTCACATCCAGCTCACCGTCATTCACATACAGTTCTCTTGATTGCTGTGAAAACATTCCTGGAATGAGCAACCTCAGGTAGGATTTGCCCATCATGGTGGAATCAGCGTGGCAACAAAGAGATATGGATTCTGGGATTCAGCTTGCTTTCCCCTTCTTATTTAGCCAGTGCCTAAGTCCATGAACTAGTGTTGCCCGCATTCAGGGTGAGTCTTCTCTGCTTACACAAACCTTTCTGGAAACACCTTCGTAGATACTCACAGAAGTGTCTTTCCATGGTGACTATAAACCCATTCAAACTGACAACGATGATTAGCCATTGCCTCTTCTAAGTGAGTGCATTTCACAGACTCAGCGTGATGGATGTAAAAGCCCACCAGTGGACCAGAGCTCCACATGGTGGGGTATAGGTGAACTCTGCAGATTATCCGAGCCAACGTACAAGGACAGTTCAGTTAGGTCCTCTGTATGTTGTTTCTACATCATTAGGAAGGCATCTGTGATTTTAGGGAGGGCAAAGATATGGGCAGGCAAGACAAGACAGGATAGCTTTGCTGAGGTGAGCTAGGGTCCTGAGGGGGGAATTCGTGCGAGAGAGGATGGCAGCACTCTGGAAAATGATTGGCTGTGCTTCCTTAGATTGCTTTATGACAGTGATTCTTCACCTGTGAGAATCGAATATCAGATATCTTGCATATCAGATATTAACATTATGACTCATAACTAGCAAAATTACAGCTATAAAGTAGTAAGAAAAATGTTTATGGCTGTGGATCACTACAACATGAGGAGCTGTGTCAAAGGGTCACAGCATTAGGAAGGCTGAGAACCGTGCTCTAAGGTAAGTGACTACCTGGAAACACTCTCACCGCTTCTCCCTTGGTTGGTGCCATGGGGAAGTGATTCATGTGACTTCTGGGTCAAGGACATGTGGAGTCGGAGAGGTCATCTCTCTGGGCTTGAGCAGCATTCCTTCCGTTCTTGGTAGATAAAAAAAAAAACCATGATTGTCACAGTGCTTCGAAATTGTGTATTCACCGTGAATGTCGCATGTGTGCAAGCCCGATTGGCCTCTCCTAGCTATGGCTTCACCCTGTTTACAGATGCTGCTGCTCCGCCCACAGAGAACCTGAGACAGAACAACTGAGCTCCTAGGTCCTGTCCTCTGCCCACTTCCCTCCTGCTTTTCCCCTCCCCTTCTCCTCCTTCCCTCCCTGCTCCTCCCCTCTTCTCCTCCTCCTCCCCTCCTGCTCCTTGCTTTTCATGTTTACTAACCCTGCATCCACAGTGTCTTATCTGGGCTCCCAGCTGCTAGCCTCTTACTTCCTAAGTGTATCTCCTCAGCCATTGGCAGCCAGGCAGTGTGATGCACACTGTAGGCAGTCACTGGGGCAGGAGGGGCTCCTCACCACAGGGTGACACGAAGGTCAACGTGTTAGAGATACGGAAGATATTTTACAACATGCCTCATCTCCAGCCACAGTCAGAACCACGCCCATCTTCCACGATCCAGGAACAGCTAGCCTCCCGAATTTTGCAGCACTTTGTGTGCTCCTGCCTAGGACCCTGCCGCTTCCTTTATGCTCCTCTTCTCTTCTTGTTTCCCTAGCAACAGCTCTTGAAGGGTTATCCATTCTCTAGCTTTCTCTGACATCACTCTCTCCTTCAAGTCGTTGCTGATTTGTTTTTGCCTTCTCCATTCTAAGGGTCTTTGTAGATCTATCCAGTGTGGCTTTTGGAACACTTTGTTTTGTTTGTTACACAGCTGCTTCCTTAACTTGACTTGGATTTCTTGACTTAAAACATAAGGCATTCTGGTACGAGGGTTTGTGCCTGGTCTTATTGTAACATGTCATGTTGTGTTCATCTGATGCTGCTGGGAGGTCTGCCCTTTTCTGAAGGAAAACAGAGGAGTGGATCTGGGAGAGAAGGAAGGTTGGGAGAGGAGCTGGGAGAAGTGGAAGAAGGGAAATTTGTAGTCAGGATGTAGTATATGAAAGAAGAGTAAATAAATTTGAAAAAAAAAAAAGAGGCATTCACCTGAGACGATGGCTTGGTGAATTAAGGAGTGCAAATATGAGGACCCAAGTTTAAATTTCCCAGAACCCACATAAAACTGGGAACAGGAGCAGGCATCCATAATCCCAGAGCTCCCATAGTGAGATGAGGAACAGAGACAAGAGAATCCCTAGAAGCTTTGGGGAGCCCCTGACTTTCCTTACACAGCAGGGAAACGACAAAACCAAGAAACACTATCTCAAAATCAAGGTGGAAGGTGAGGACCAACACCTGAGGTTGCTCTCTGACCCCCAAAATGTACAATATGCCCATACACACATGCTCATGTAAGGTTAATAAAAGGTTAAGTGAGGTAACAAATAAGCTTTTAATTCATTGTAATTAATAAAAATTAATGATTATTAATTTTAATTAATAAATAATAATTGTCTTTCTCTCATGTCTGGCACATAGGAGGTCTTCCATACATTTTGGTTGCACCCATTTGAATCAGAGATTCTCTCTGCAGGTGGCTCTGGATGAGCAGAGACAAGCAGAATTCAGAATTCGCCAGAAAGGGGTGTGGGCAGCTCTCTGCATGGAGCTACAACAGAAACAGGCCCTGGTTTTCCCATGTAGATTTACAGTTAGAGCATTGGCCAACTAAAGACTTATAGGGCTTGGGATTTTGATGGGAAAAGTTGTCTTACAAGTGATTCTTTTTAATCTTCAGGTGAAGAAACCAGTTCTGTTGTCACCACCCCAATCAGCAGTCTTGACAAAGCCACAAATCTTAAGTCACTTTCCATTGCAGGCAAGAACAAAATACACAGTCGATGTTGGTCTAGGAGAAATTCATTAAGGAATGTTGATGAGTTCATGGTAGGAGTATTTGATGAGTTGGGGTATTTGATGAAGTTTCAGGCGAAGTGTTGTGTGTGTGTTCTGTTTGATAACTTCCATCATCAGAGAACAGGGTGAGTGGGCTTTGATGCGTCTGGGTTTCTGAGGTCTGATTGAGTCTTTTATTTTCCATAGGTTTCAAAACCTGCTCTGGTCAAGAAAGACGTTTGTGGACAACATGAAGATCTATAACCATAGCTACATCTACATGCCTGCTTTTTCTATGAAGACAGGAACAGAGCCGTCTCTCCGTGTATATTACACACTGAAAGATGTTGGTGCCAATCAAACAGCGCTTTTTGCTAATCCCAACTTTCTGCGGAGCATTGGAAAGTTCTGGAAGAGCAGGGGAATTCATGCCAAGCGCCTGTCTACAGGACTGTTTCTGGTCAGCGCAGCCTTGGGCCTCTGTGAAGAGGTGGCCATCTATGGCTTCTGGCCCTTCTCCGCAAATATGCACGAGGAGCCCATTAGCCACCACTACTACGACAATGTCTTGCCCTACTCGGGCTTCCACGCCATGCCTGAGGAATTTCTCCAACTCTGGTACCTTCACAAAACTGGTGTGCTGAGGATGCAGCTAGACCCATGTGAGGAGCCATCACTTGAGCCCACTTCCTAGGGACCAGAAGAAGAAAGAACTGGGCTGTGAAATATTTTTGCTAGGTTTTCTATATGACTTCCAAAAGGAGTGGCCAAATGTGTCATGGATTGGCATGATAGCAAACAAACAAAAACCCAAGCAAAACTTTGCGTTTGACATTGGCTTGGAGAATACTAAGAAGTAAAATGTTCTGGGGAAAGATTTTATAGTGTGTCGTGGATTTACAACTGGGACCCCAAGGAGATGATACTGGCGGATGACGTGTCTGTGGTTCAAATCTAGAAGACGAGATTCAAGGAGCAGACGAACTCTGATTGCTGAGGCCGAGGGCCTCATCGTGGCAGCATGTGGAGATGCTGGGGGTATTGCTGCAGTCAATACACAGTGGCATCGCTGGGGGTTATTGCTGACCGTCAATATGCAGTGACATCGTAGTCATTTTAAAAGACCTGTCTTATTGAGACTGGCATTAGAACTGTAGGTTTTTAAAAATTATTATTTATTTTTGTCCCGTTTAGGGTTGTGGGTGGGTGATGGGGTAGACTTACAAAATCCTTCCTGCTGATTTTTGTGATGAGTTAAAACAAATCTATGTTGGCTATAGTCCCCTCCACCAGTACAGTTTTAAGTAAGAACTGCTTCTCGCCTCTTTGGTTAGGTCGATTTAGTGTGAAGCTCTGTTGACTTTAGACTGGTTACAGACACCAGGCCATGACTCAGTTCTGACAGTTACATGAGAATAATCTTTGATTACTTTGATTGATAGTCTAGATAACATGAGACGCTTCCTTTCCCCAGATGCTGAGAGAGAAGCTCAACTTTAGGTCCCTGTTACATCAATCCATGGACTCTGATGCTGGTATTTTCCCCAAATAGCTCTGCACACAATTACTTTATTCACTTCAAAATTGCCTTCATTTAATGAGAGGTGAAGTAAGAACTTCATCTCTGAGTCTGACAGACCAGGAGGCAGGACCCTTTTCTCTTTAACATGAATATTTTCCTTTAAGGTAACTCATGTGTACATACATATGAATATTCCCTTTCAAGATGATGTGTGTGCATGTACACATGAGTATAAACACATGTACTCTGACACACTATACAAAGTAATCAAAGATTTTTCTCATGCCATTGCCAAAACTGAGCATGCGTGGCCTGGTGTCTATAACCAGTGTTGAAGCACTACAGAGATGTCGTATGGAATCCATTTCATGTTGACATGAGTTGAGCTGGCATAGCAGTTACTGTCAGCTTGCATGCCAGCACGGGGTGCAAGGTTTACCCTCAAAGACGTAATCCAGGATGAGAACTGCTGTCTTATTCATTCTGCCTCCCCCACCCCCCAAATCTCATGAATGGACCTTGTGCTGAGCATAGTGGCAAGGGACCTGGTTCATGCAAATGAGCAGGTAGGAACCACTAGCCCTGTATTTTCTTAGTGTCAGGTGCGGCTGCTTGCGCAGCTTGGTACAGCTGTTTGACACAAGGCAACTACGGCCAAATGTGTTTACTGTAGGTAAGGGACACGCAGGGACATCTTATGTGGTTGTTGAGCTTTGAGGTACGTTAGGCTCCAAGGAGCTGTGAAAACTCACGTTTACTCTTTCAAGTGTTGTTATGGTGCAGGTAAAACTGACTCACAAGCTCTACTTCACCTTGAAGGTATAAACTTGGTATATTGACCACGTCTATGAAAACAGGGGGCTTTACAATAAAGGCTAATTTACAAGTTATCAAAGTTATGGAAGAGTTGCCCATTGCCAAATGTGATCAGATATCCAGGTTACTCTAGAAATTGGCATTTGAACTGAGACAGGTTGTGCTGAGGTTTGGGAAGTTCACCACTGTGCAGGCTGGCCTGGTGTTTCCATCTTGTGTGGTAGCATCAGGCTATCAGGAAGGCAGTGCTAAATGTGTTAGTCCTGTCTGTACGTCACTTAATATAATCCCTGTTTTGAAGGACTAGTATTTAATAATTACCTAAGAAAGAATGAATTTCTACCAATAGACTTTATTAAAAGTATAAAAGGCCTAGGAAAACAACCCATACAAAGATTAATTAAATGTGCATTCAGATGAATGCATTAATTGGCCAGAATCTAAGCAAGAAGCTCCTAAAATCCACACATCCCAGGTCACTGAGAATGCTACCTGGGAGTGTGAACTCTCACCACGGGTCCTGGAACAGGTCTACGGAGGAGTCGTGGGTTTTGTCTATGAGCTGGAAAGCCAGTCTACTGGCTCCTGACCTGCAGAGCAGAGGTGGTCAACACTGTCAGCTAGAGCTGTGCTTTCGCCCATGATGATTGCCCTTCCTTCTCAGGTGCCATAAGCCAGCACCTGGGCACATTTTCTTGTTCTGCTTGTAGTAGGAACAGCCGGATGGTGGTCCAGCAGCAACGGGTCAACCACTTGCCATAGAGAATGACCCCGAGAAACAGTAGTAGTGTGGACATTGAGAAACCCTAAGTTAGACCAAAAGAAAAGTTTGTTTGTGCTACTTGCCTTTTAGAACACAGGTATAATGTTCATGGCATGAACAGCATTACTGCAACTGTCCATTATTTTATAGTGACTATTCATAGGTGCATATGTCATATATGTAACTTTATGTGTGTTTGATTAGATGATGTAGCTAAGCAAGAGGTAGGTGTGGCTGAATGGGTGTCTCTCTGAGTATGTACATGTAACTATGTGTGTGCTTAACATTATTTTTAGTAAAATATGTGTTTCTACATAGAAACCTCTCCAGAATCATCCCTAGAACTTTCTGGAGTACTCTATTACCTTTAAGAGGTCGGGGACTATTCAATTCTACTTCTTGAAATTAAGGCCTTTAGGTCTGGGCCTGTTCCATTATTTAACATATTTGACCTTAACTTTCAGACAGAAGGGATTTGGGTTATGATGGACATATTCAATAGAAAACATTGAATTCACTTCAGTGCGTCTGACAAGAGATGGCAGCCCTCTCTACCACCAATTGGGCCAATGCTTTAAATGGGTATATTTTACTTGCATGGCAATTCATATATGAGAGAGAGAAGGAAAGAGAGGGACACACACACACACACACACACACAGAGACAAACAGACACAGAGACAGGGATAGACAGAGAAACAGAGACAAAAGTAAGATTGCTTCATGGGGGGAAAGGACGCAGAAACTGCAAATGAGCACCCAGACAGGAATTTCCATTTTAGTCAACTGCAGCTGGAGAATTGCTTTGGTTCTCAGGTCCCTGAGCAAGGATGACTGCTATTTGATTTCAATCACACTTCAGTAAAAACTCTGCCAGGTGAAGAGTAAGTCATCCCACCAGAAATAAAGCTTGTACCTGAAAGCCCTTTTCATGGAAGATGACCCCTGGACCCGTGTGCTCACCACTATAAAATGCTCTACAAAATTATATAAAAATTGTGTGGCTAAACTAGATTGGTCACTTTTATGACTTCACCAAAGGAAGGGAGCAGATGGAGGGCCCTCTCAGCCCTTAATAGTTCTGACTGCCCCTGCAGAGGACCTGGGTTCAGTTCCCGCACACACGTCCTTGTGTACAGCTGCCTGTCATTCCTTGCCCAGGTGATTGGCATCCTTGTCTTCCCTCCATGGATGCTGCATGCAAGTGGAACCATATCCCTACAAATAATAAGTAAATAAATCTTAATAAAGGTCGAGAATTCTTTCTCAAAATGGAAGATGTTCAGGGAATGCCCTTTGCTCTTTGCTGGGAAGCCAATCTACAGTTTTAATTTCTGTGTTTGAAAAGTATCAACTTTGCTGAATTTTTGCTGGCAAACCCTTGTCAGGAGAGATCTAATGAGAAAATCAGTCACCAGTGCACTGAGGACCTTCACCTTACGAGCTCAAGTACCTGAGCTTGCATTTGCTAATCTGGGTGCCCTGTGGCAGAGTCTGATCACCTTGACCCGGTTGCATATGATCATGATGAGGAGACTTCTCTCTGCACACAGATGAGCTTCTGAGTCCCTGAAGCTAGGGAGAGATCAGATGTCCTAGAGTTCCTCTGTTTCCTTTGAAACCACGGACTTCTGTGAGGCCACAGGGTTTAGTCTCAGCCCTATACAATTCCTGCTTTATAAGTGGGAGGGTCTCAAATTTGTAGACATCCCTCACACACCCAGGCACACATACATGTGCATGCACACAAACACAAGAATATAAATAGTATCTGCCTTACTCTCGGCCTTAATATGCTGTTTGACATTTTCACATACCTCCCAGAGATAGGTGAATGACGCGTGCACATGAATGGAACCGTTCTTCATACTTTCTAACCTCATTGCAACAAGGGAGGAATGCGCTTCTGCTTCCTTGTTTGGGTGTTCTCTCTGTTGCTGACATTTGTAGTTTCTTCTTCCTTTAACACAGAGGAACAGGCATATTGAAGTGAGTTATAATATTGTGAGCATTTGAGTAACAGCCAAAGCCCTTGACTCTCACTTGTTAGGGCAAAAGAGAGGAATTACATTTTTATGTTTGCTCTTCTGACCATGACTTCCAGTCTCACTGATGTGTTCAAAACCTTCTTGGTTTTGCTTTTCAGTTGAAACTGTTGGGATTCAATCAGTGACAAAGTTGTCCAAGAGTTTTATGGTGTAATATCCAAATATAGTTCGTGCTTCTTCTAGCTTCTGTGTAGCTTGACTTCCTTCAGGTTCCTGTCATTTTCAAATGTACGTTTCATGCCATAACAGTAAACGACAAGCGATGTGACTTAGTCCAAAGCAGAGAAAACTGTGTTCATGCAATTCTGGATTTCTCTTTACAGTGACAGAAAGAAAAAATGCAATAGAGAAAAGATGTAACCAAAATGAAAACTAAGAGAAAATAGTGATTTTTTTTTCCACTGCAAAGGACCTATTTGGAAAGGTCTCAGCCTCAGGAGGCAGCTCAGCAGACAGGAAGGAAGGAGGTGTTGTCTTAGAATGCAGTCGCAAGAACAGAATGGCTTCAAGATAACAGAAAGGAAGTGTGCTGCCTTGTCATGGTTAGGGTTAGGATGAAAAGATGCTAGATGTACCATGAACATGGATATTGAGGCTGTTGCAGGGAAGACTCCAAGCCGGTACCTGTGTTCTCATGTGGATCTTGGCAGTCTTGGAGACCCCAGGTTCCTGCCCCCTCCAGGAAGTACCCTCACAGGTGCCTGAATTTGATGAAGCAAACACCTACACAGTGCTATGTCACCTCTCTTTTGATTTATAGTCTCAAAGTGAGTTCTAATTTAGCTTTTCTGTCTAGATGGTGCAGAAATTGTGGTCAATGTCACCCTGATGTTGACTGCTGGACATGGTCACCATACACTGCACATTAGCAAGAGTTACTGTTAGCTTCTTGTCCCTACAATGATTCCCAAGAAAGGCAATGGCAACTTAGATTCATTATCCTTCGTGTTTTAGTCCAATCTCTCTCTCTCCCTCCCTCTGTTCCTCT